TCCCTTTGTCCAGTACTTTGCCTTTGCATGATTGAGGGTGAAATTGCACCACCATTCCCTCTCTGTCTCCCCCCAGGCACAGCACCCTGTGGTTTGGAGCAATTTAAGGCTTAGTCCAAAAATTTGTCTCAGTTTTCTTCCATCTTGGTGGTCCAGACTAAACCCCAACTCTTTCTCCTTTGCTTTCTTACTCCTTTCTTCCTGACCCATTATGGTCCCAGCATCCAGAGATTCACCATTCTTTCCCTTCACCTCCAAACTGCAAAGTCACAGGGACAAAATGTGAGAGAAGATATGGTTGGTATGCCCAACTCAGTTTACAAAAACCTTGACACTGGCACTAATGCTTTCCTATCCACCATCCTCTTTCCAAAAGAGGTTAAGAAATACTCTGAATTCCTGTCTTGGTTGAAGAGACTGTTCAGCCCTTTGTAAAACTGCAAGAGGTATGGACACTTGTCAATTTGGGAGGAAAAAGAAGGTTGGCTCTCTCCCAGGGGAAAGGCTTTGCACATCAAGATGCAGACAGAGAATCTGGCCCTGCTTTAAAGAGAAGGGACACAGTTCTATTTCTAGCAGGGACATTGTGTGAGCAACTCCCTCTGAAATCAAAGGATTTTTGCCCTCAGATATCCAAGGGCAGAAACCAGGAGCCAGAATCAGCCCTGGTGCCAGCTGATGGAACAAGCACCCTCCAGCTGTAGTAAAAAAAGTTCCCAACACTAGGATAAAGCTGGAGCCACTGGAAGTGCCCTTGCAGACACAAACAGATTTATGACCCAAAAATTCAAACAGAAATTATCATTGCAACCACAGCTAATGCCAGGAGACATTAATTCCCTGCCTATCCACCCTGCTTGGCTCACAGATCCCGTGGTCCTCCCTAGGACAGCCACACAATCTATATGAAAGCATTTGGCTTCTGGGGATGCCATGAATTTTCTGCGTTCCCTACTGCACACTCTCCCCAAGTAAGTCTTGATTTAGCTACAGTAATCTCTGATGCCTGTTCCCACAGAAAGAACTGTTTATTTTATAGTATCTGAAATGGATGGTAATAAACTGCCTGCCTCTGCATCAGAACAAGGTCACTGACCCGATCTGCTGCCCAGAAAATGTGTATAAATTCAGCATGTCCCATGGCTGCAGTGGGAGCCCAGCTTGCCCCATCAGCCTGGGGTGCCAGGCTGGCTGCCTTGTGTTGGTGTAGCACAGGATGAGCAAGCCTGGCCTCCAAATGTGGCTTGAGAGAGGGTGGGACATCAGGGAATTGCACCCTTGGAAGGACAGCAGGCCCTAAATGAAGATTCAATATAAGCTACACAACCAAAAGGGAAAGATTGCACAGCTTGGCCAGCAGCAGCTTCCAGAGCTTTGGAGGATGCTCAGCACGTTGGCCTGAGAGGGAAATACCCACACACGAGCTGGGGGGCTTGAGGCACCTCTCCTTCCCAGGAAAAGGGCACTGATTACGTGGTGCACTGCAGAGAAACAGGGATGCTCTGGAGGAACCCACTTTCCGGCCAAGACACTTCCAGCCAGAGGACTCTGATGAGTGTCTGAGTTGGTCTTTTACTGCAAATGGCCACTTTGACACCACCACATGTGCATAAACTGCCAGGTTTTAAAGGAGGGCTCATGGCACTTCCAAAGCCAACAGCTTCCCAAAGCCTTACATCCAGCCAGCCAAAAATTTGGCATGTGGTCACTGTGCCTTGAGTAGCAGCTCCCTGACCACACAATCCTAAAATCTTTGGGGCTCTGGTGTGGGGCTGTGGTCTCATTTCTGTCCACTTAGCCAGAACAAGCAATGGAATTTTGACCAGTTTTATGAGCCTGCATCACAAAGGAGGCAGGTGACACCTGGCCCAGCATAAATCCTGCCACTAACAAGGGAGTCTTCCAGGATGCTCTGAAGCAGCAGAGAGAGCTTGTACCAAACCAGCACGATCCCTCGTGTGGCTGCAGTGTTCTGGATCCAGTACTAACACCCTAAAGACAGTTTTATGGTATCACTGTGTGAGGACTCTGTTTGAACTCCTCTGGTTTAAGCCTTGATTTAAGCTAATGCATAATTCATAATGGGGATGATAACAGATGGCAACTTGTGAAGCCACAGGAACTCAATCAGTTGTGATCACATGACAACACCCTAAATAATTTAAATCATGTCTTACTGCAAGAGCTGCTCTGCTGGGGCCCTGTTACAGAGATGCTGATGCCACACTGTGGGAATCGTCCTGCAAGGCAGGATCTGATCCCTCTTTGAAAGGGCGAAACTGAGGCTCAGAGTGAGGGGCTTCCATGTGCTGGCTCCATGAAAGCAGATCCCTGGTGTCCTCCTGCTCCTCTGCCCCAGATCCCAAAAAGATATTTGCAAAAGATAAATTCAGAAAAAAAGCATTACTTTAAAAAACAGTCTGTCTTCCACAGCACGGTTTCTAACTCCAATAAAACTCTCCAGAGAGTTTTATTCTCAGACCAGATGCTCTCATGTCAGAATATCTATTTCTTCTTTTACTACAGGAGGAAACTACCTTTCCAACACATGGCCCAAACCTCAGTGACATGGAGACCCTTCAGTGTCTCTGTGAGAGCCAGGAGGCCCTGCCAAACACCTTGGCCACTTCAGGAAGCACTGTGGGATGCAGGGAAGCAGGGCGGCTTCTCTTAGGAGTTTCAGCACCTCCCTTTTCTTTCCATCAATTTCCAGGTGACCACATGCACATGAGATCTGGGGCTCTGCAGTAAAGTTTCACTCCCAGTGACTTGAAACAGTTTTCAGAGTAAAAACACTCTTTAGGAAAGAAATGTTCTACGAGCAATCCAACATGCTCTGGATTACAGAAATGCTTCTACTGTCACAAGGGACAAAGCACCATAAAGAATATAAAACTTTAATGAATTGTTATCATCATCTCAGCATACTTTGAGAAGACACACTGAGTTTGAGCCTTCTCTGGAATTCCAATCAATCATCATCAGCACAGTCAGTCCTGGCTGAAGCACTGGCTGCTCACCATAAGCTTAATTAACACAGACTGCTGCCTCCTGCCTCCTGACATATTACTGGGGAATAGGGAACACTGCCTACATCACATTCATCCTTAAAAATCACTTGACTGCCAGACCATTTTTACTCTTCATTTCTAGTATCACCATCCTTTTTTTTAAACACTTCAAGTATAAAAGCACTCATGAGGTGAAATTCTCCTACTGTAACAGTTGCAGGCACTTTCTGAAGAGAACATCTCCCAAACAGAAAGGAGTCTGACACCTAAAAACACTTCCCAGAGGTGTTTGAAGCCCTGTTGGTCTAAGCACAAGGCATGGAGTTCTTCAGCATGCTGGTTCTCACCAAAGCACCAAAATGTGTCCTTTCTCTCTGGTGCAATATTAGCATTTGGCAAAGGTGTTTGGAGAAACACCACTGCATGAAACAAACCCCTGTGTGTACAAGATGGACCCGATTCTCAGGTGGACTAAAGTCTGAATTCAAGGCAACTATGCCAAGTGACATGAGCAGAGATACAGAATTATGTTTCCTCTAAGCCAGTGTGTTAGCAGTGAAAGACAGAACAGGGAATGGTAACAACACTGTCCTGATCTTCAGACAAGGTCGCAAATCAGAAGATACTTCATGCCTTGGGGGATCCTAGAAAAAAAGATTATTATAATTTCCAAAATGATAATAATCCCAAAACTTCTCACAGACCAAGCAGTTTTACACTCAGAACGAGGCCCTGCCAAATGTCTCTGTGCTGCTTGGAGCAGGGACAATTCTCCATCACAATTGTCCAGGTGACTCCAAAGCCAAGAGTAGCTGCAGCCAGGGGCAGCCAGCACTGAGGCAGCTCCCAGGCAAAGTGCCAAGCACAGCTTTAACTGTAGAGGCTTCAGAGTGGTTTTGTCCATTTGAGTTTGGACCTAAGGAATCCCTGCCTTTGTAAGGAGCAAAATCCATTCTTGCCACCATGAGTGACCAGCCCCAGACAAGGCTCACAGTCTCTCCTCCATTCCTCTCTCCCCGAGGCTGCCTGTATGAGAGCCAGCACAGACAAACTGCTCTTGCTGGGATGGGATGCTGAGAGAAACCTCTTCCCAGCAGCAATGGATGCTGCCCTCCCTAAGTGACCTTCCCTGGGAGGAGACACTTTAACACACAAATTACCCAACCTGCTTTTCTCAGAAGGTAAGAGCCACAACACTCACATACCCACCTGCTCAGGCTCCTTAAGGAATGCCTCTTTCCATCTGAAAAAGCAATCTGACACCTTTTTTTATTATTATTTATTTCAAGCTAGTAAGGACATGTCAGTCTTATTGCACAAACCATCAAGGCAATAACTTCAAAAGCAATGAACCTTACACTTCACGCTTATTACAGGGAATAGAATTATAGGACTACTTTTTTTTTTTTCTAACATGGAGAACTGGAATGATCTGAACCCAGACTGAACTTAATCTCCTAAACAGACCCATACTCCAATCTCTACCCCGAGTGCTTCCAAACTTCAGGGCAAGTTGTGTCTGGGTTATGTCTCTTGGTCCCGAGCGTGCCAAGTGCTGCAGCTCCGGGCAGGTCCTTGACACGCTCCCAGCAAATTGGTGTCTTGGCTACCAGCCCCTGGGGACAGAGACAGAGCAGATACTGCAACACGGTGACCTTGGGCGATAAAAATGGATAGTCGGGGTTGCAGGGATCAGCTCCAGAGGAAGCAGAGCCAGAGCGAGCAGTGCCAAGGACAGCGCGCTCAGCAGGCGGAGGGAGGGAGGCTGGGATGATGGAGAGGGAAGTGCGGGGTGATGAAAATGAGCCCAACCTGAGAGGGAAGGAGCCCTGCCGAGCTGGGAGGGATCCATAGGCTATCCAAGAGTGGCCTCTGGTGGCAGCAGGCACAGCAGCCGCCCTGGCAGGGCTCCCTCCCCGGGAATGCACCTTCCCTTATCTCCCCATTACCTGAGTGACTCATGGAAGTGAATCAACAACCCTTGCTAAGTCGTTTTGGTCTTGCCGGCAGCTCTAAGGTCAGAATATGGGTTTGGTCAAGCTGAGAATTGCAAATCAAATTGTCTGGACTTCCCCGAGCTTACCTGGGGGTTGTCCAGGCTGGCACCGACAGCCGGAGCTGCACAAGCCCATCCCACAGCAGGGAGCTTGCCACAGTGCCTGTGCCAGCAGCCACCCCAGGCTGGCTTCAAATCCTACCTGGTGGTATTGGGAAAAAAAAAAAACAAAAAACACCTCTTTGGATGTTTTTCCAGCTTTCTCTTTTCATTATAGTTTTAAAGAAAGTTCTGCTTCAAAGGCTCAACCTCAAATTGTAATTTCATCAAGTGGAGATTCGGAACGATGCCAGACTCACAGAGCGCCTTTCCCTCACCCTGGCACAGCCAGGTAGCACCAGCAGGAGCAGCTGATTGCCAGCAGTGAGTGTGCAAGGCCACTGCAAGAAGCACCAAGGCTGGATATGGGGGCAGGAACTTCCCACTTTCACACAGATGGTTCCTGACCAGAATGGGAGCCAGGACATCACCATTGTTACAAGTGAGCATTCTCTGCATGGCAGACTCCCAAAGAAGATGTCACAAAACTCACAGAACACCGAGGTCACACAGACACTGCCCAAAAAGGAGGGATGGAGGAGCAGAGGCAGGGAAGTCTAGTGAGAGAGAAGGCATTTCTTCCCATGATGGCAAATCTGTGCTGAAATTTTTTCATGGCACTTTCCCTTCCTGGCACTTCAACTTCTCCCACCATAATCTGATTTCTGGTGGTCCACAGGCCAAGAATGCCAGGTTTAGGTCCTGGCTTGGGAAAACCTGTAGGCTGCCAGAGGAAAAGGCAGATTTCCAGGAATGGGCGTGGGGTATCTCACCAAACCCACATGCCAAGAGTGTTGCCAGTCTGACTGCCCCATGTTCCCCAGCATCATGGGGGCAAGTGCCAGGTGAGCCCTGTTAGCCAGCATAAGTTTTCACACCTAATCCTGTGTGTTAGCTGTCACAGGACAACAAGAGTGGATCAGGTAACCAGTTCCATGTTAACCCAATGTCTCTCTGCACCTACTGGCCCCCCAAGATTGCCAGAAAACAAAATTAGGCACCTCAGGCCCATCTGTAAGAATTAGGCACAAAGAATACATTTTTTTTAGAAGAAATTGCCAAAGGCAAGCAAAGTGAGACATCATTTGAACACCCCTTGCTCTGAACACTGGGGCTGGGAATGCTCTTCAAGGACAGGCACTCTCTGCTGTGTGGTGCTGTGCATCAGATGTGATTTTTTTCCTCTGAGAAGCATAAGAAAGAGTACCAGCCTGGCAGAGTGCTGAGCAGGTGTCCTGTGCCCCAGGACAGTGGGTTTCTAAACAAAGACATGTCAGGATTTTGTCAAAAGCGAACTGAGAGCAAGCCTGCTCCCCCTGTTTGAGCACACAAAACTTTCCCATGTGGGTAACTCTGCCCTGCTCTGCCCTCTGCTTCCAAGAGAGAATTCTCTGAGCCCTTCCTCAGCCTGCCCAGGCCTCCTCCAGCAGCTCAGGGACCCAGGCAGTTTCTGGGAGATGTGTATGAACTCCCCAGCAGCACCAAAACCCAACTCTCCCATTGCCCGTGTAGGTGCTAAGATTTTGACTTTGCCTAGAGTTTGGCACACTGTGGGTATAATCCCAGGGGGCTTCCCAGAGCTACAGGCACACAGGGTTTGTGTGCACAGTAAGGGGACCTGACCCCATGAGTAAAGCAGGTAAGAGAGATGAGATAATTCACAGTTTCTTTTTTTGTTTGTTTTTGTGGTTTTTTTTTAATCTAGCCCTGTGATTCCATGTGAATATAGAGATATCCATCAATCTGTGCAGCCTCGGGACAGTGGCTGTTCTGAGACACTCTGACCCAAGCACTGCCTGTTTCCAGCTCCTCCTCCTCCAAAGGGATTTTCTGTGAGTACATGCACGTCCAAGTCACAGAAAGTTTTCTTGCTGACACTAATTATTTTGATAAAAGACAAAACATAAGAATACAATCATACTGAAAAACGGCTACATTTCCTCACCCTCACCTCCATCTTGGTGTAACATGAAATTTCAGTAATCTAAAAAAGAGATAGAAATGTTAATGAGGTTCTCCACGCCATGAAAAAGATTGAATACATCAGATTCTGCCAACATAACCCACACAAAGGCAGGAAGAAGAACATGTAGCAGAAATGGAAAAATGTGGGACCATTACAACCCAATTGCTAGAATACCTGTATGGACCAGTGCAGAGCTCAGCCTGACACTGAATCACAGCACCAGGGACAGGCTTTGAGTGAGCACAACCTCAAAAGGGATAAAGTCAGAGACATCTCTTTCAAACAAGTCTCTGCTCCCAGATTGCTCCCACATCTCCATTACATCTGGAAGTACAAATTCTCTGAAAAGTTTATGTCATAATTATGATCTTCCAACATTTACATAAAACTCTCATTTACAAGCAAAACCAGATGAAAATCTTCCCTTGCATGGTCAAGAATCAGTCTAGCAGATTTCTGTGGTTTCTTACATCACTTTCTTGCATACAACGATAAAATCACTCCTAAGCCATTTTTCTCACAGTTGATTTCACACAGTTCTGAAGCTTCACATAAATCTTGCCATGAACTCCTGGAGGGAATGTTGGAATCACCTTCAAAGTCTGCACCTCTGACCGAGTTTATAAATCACAGCACATTCCAGGTTCCAGCAATCTTCCCTTGGCTCAGGGATGCTCAGGAAAGGCAGGTTCTTCACTCAGCCCAGATCCACAGCCCATCCACGGCCAAGGGAGGGCAGTGTGTCCTGCAGATCCATCCAGCAGCTCTCAAGGACTCTCATTTCCTGACTGCAGCCACATCACATTAACCTTCTTACAGCAATTAGATATTGGGATGCATCTGTGTCGGTGTGGTCCTACCTGAGCCTTTTGGATATTGAGGTGCAGGCCTCAAAGGCAGGTAATTTCCCTCAACTACATAAAATCACAGAATATTCTGAGTTGGAAGGGACCCACAAGAATCATCAAATTCCATCTCCTGGGTTTACTGAAGTTTTACATCAAACTGATGTCAACAGGGAAACTTCCTAACAGGTAGGAAAGCAAATTTTTTCTGGAGATAAAATTAATCAGCGTACTTAAGCTGAATGCAAGATATTTCAAAACAAGTTTATGAAAAGAGCATCACAAACAAAACGTGGGAGTCAGGAAGAAGAATCATGTTCCCAACTCAGGACAGGCTGAGAAGCTTCTCTGTTATTATTCATCAAAAGTCTTCATTTGGAAAGGTAAAAGACAATCAGATGCACTAACAATCCTGCTGCATTAATCTTGCTCTTCAGGAAACTGCATGCTTTAAAAGGTGAGGTCATTTGCAGCTTGCAGGAGAGGAATAATGGAAGCAAATGGCTGTATCTACTTTCAGAACAATTTTTGAGAAGTACGGACACTAACTCCTGCATGCCTGTGACTGGACTGCTGCAGGTAAAGGGCCATTCCCTCCTGCACACCAGCTGAATCTGCTCCAGAAAGGAAAAGTAGAAGCAAGTGAAGTTGGATGCAGCCTAGGAGAGAGCTGAGTGCGTTTGCTGTGTAGAAGGAGCAGAGAACAGGAGAGGGGGCTGTGCAGCAGGAAAAGTGCTTCTCTCTGTCCTGAAAATGGGAGATCACACTGGAACAGAGATAGTGGGGAAACAACATGCTGCTTCTGCATTTCCTCATGTGCCCCCAGAAATCCACCCCTGAACCTCAGGCAATGCTCACAAGTGGCTCACAAGTGGTGGATTATTTCCAGCTCTGCCACTAACCTCCTTTGCAGTACTGGACAGATTCTCCCCTCCTGGTGAGGGTTACTCTTAAATCAGAGCACAAGCTAGAGATGTAGAATCTCTCTGCACATTTATAAATAGCTCACCTACACATTTCACAGGAGGGCAAATGCCAATAAGCAGCTTTAATGGCAGCCCGTACAATGGCAATGGCAGCAGCAAAAACATTGCCACCTTTCTTCCCACATCCATCATACTAATAGGGACAATTAAAACCTGGGAGAAGCCCCAGGACACTGACAATTAGTGACTGTAGGCCAGGCTTGAAACATAGTCAAGGATCAGTGGTTACAAGTCTGTGAAACAGGCTGGGCAAGTCATGAACTGAGCACACAAATGACACCTCAGGTCCTCGCCCCATCCTTCCCACAAGCCTGGACCACATCTCACACATTTTCTGCACCACTCTGTGGCCCTTCTCCTGCCCACACAGCAGGCAGAGCTTTTAACTTGCCAAACAGTTTGGCGTGGATCACAGCATGGGGGAGAGGAGAGGTTTCAAGGCATAAACAAAACAAGTCCAGCCTGGCTGGTGGGAGGAGAGCGATCCATCACTGTAAAATCCAGCCAGGAGCAGCACACCATGGTCAGGACTCCCAGCCTTTGGGATGAGCTGCAGATCAGGGCTGTGCCACTTGGCTGGACCCCATGAGCAGAAAAACACAGAGCCACAGCCTTCCCTGTGCACGACCTAGCCTAGTGCAGCAAACATTTCTGTCTGTCTGTCTGTCCTCCACCCCACAGCACAGCCAAGGCCCACCCCTGAGTGCAGGGACAAAACGAGTTGGATCACTGATCTGCAACCACATCAGCAGGAGCTGGCTGCTCAGAAGGCTCTCAGAGGAATGTGTTTGTCATGCTGGAGTTTCTGCCCCAAATCCTACAAGCCAATAACCTCTTGCTAGGTCATCTGATAAGCATCATATCCAGCAGAACCAGCTCAGCTGATTTCTTCTGATTTCTTCCAGCATTACTGTGAATTTAACTGATTTTAAGCAAATATATTTTAAATTATTGTGTGTCTCTTTGCCCATTTGCCACTCTAAAAAAAAACAAAAACAAAAACACGGAAAGCTCTTTCAGTCCTTCAGCACACTGAGCACCTTTCTTTCCACTGGGGTCTCTAGCTTTGGCAGAATCAGCCTCAAATTAAGCTAGATCCAGCCTGGCCAGAAAAAGAGGACTTCTGCTGGAAGACAGGATTCAGGACTGCTCAGTAACATTAGGATTTACAGACTGGTCAGAACTCACACCAGGTGCTGTAAGGATGAAGTAAACAGCTTCTGCTCCATGGGTTTTTAAAAGCAGCAGCTAAATGCAGCAGGGAGAAGCAAGGGAATAATTAACCATATAATTATACCACCATGTAGTGTCTGATGGAAATTGCCATCTTGAAGCAAACTAATTTCCACCATGATTATTTGTGGGCTGAGGGAAATAAGACTTTTATTTCACGCTTTCAAGAAAAAGCCTGGATGTACTCAAGGGAGCAGCATGCAGGCAGCAGAGATTGCAGCTTTGGGGGGGGGGCTTCTGGCCCTGCACCGTGTAATGAAGCATTAAAAAACAAGAAAAGCTGTTGTTGCAGTTCGGGAGCAGATCAAAGGCCGGGAGCACCCGAGGAGTGAAAAGAGCAGCTGATAACAGGGTACAGTAACAGGGCTGATACATGGGTGCGACTCAGCCCTGGAGCACCTTGCTGGTGCAGATAGCGAGCTGGGAATGAGTCACTGGCAGATCAAATGCCTTGTAAATGGGACAACATGGCTGTGCGTGCCAGCAGGCAGATGAGGAAGGAGAAATCCAAGGCTTTAGGCTCTCACAGCCTTGAAGAACCTCTTGGTGCTCCTGAAGAATTAAGCCTTGTGATGGAACCAGAAGTACTCACGTGTTTCATGCGAGTCCCACCTGCAGATCCCAAAGCACTGATTCCTCTCTCTGGGCTCCCACCCAGAGCTGAGCCCCAATTCCAGCTGCCCTTCATCCAGCACTTCATAATCTGCATGAAATGTCAGAATCTGCCTGAATGAGAAATGGAGAAATCCTGTGAAAATGCAGCCGAAGCAATGATAATGTTAAAAACATTCCAAAAGGGAAAGAGGTTCTTCCATCACAGCCCCTCTGCCTAAATACCTCCAGATTTTTAGTCAGGATAATGGTTTTCACCTCTCTCACCTCCAAACTCCTGCTGGTGCCAAGCAGCTGCAGTGTTCTAGTACAAAACTCTGGCAGCAGGAGCACAACTTTGGGTTTCCAAATCCCTGAGGGCAAACAAGGTGGTATTTTGACCAAGAGGTAGCAGGAGAGGATTAGGGACCAGTCTTTAATATCAACCATTTTTTGATGTTCATTTAAGCCCAGCACCACACAGGCCCATACTGTTGTGGAATGGAGTAAAATAAAAAATAAAAGGCACCAGATCTGTAAAATGGTTTCCATTTAGTGATTCTCTCCCTCAGACTCCTTCAAACCTATTCTGTGTTTCACTAATTAGAGCTTAAAAAAAAAAAAAATCCTGCAGCCTCACAGACTTGTTTTTCAAGCTTCAGTGCAGAATTTAAACAATGAGAAACTGAAGAAGCAGGTCTTGCTTTAAAGGTCAGCACCTAATTCAGAAAGAATCTTCAGAGGGCAAGAAGCCAGCAAGGAGTTCCCTGTTCTGTCACATTGCACCACATTTCAGTGTACAACAGGGAAATGCCAACTGCTTTTGTTCTGATATCAGATACACACCCACCACGGAGAGCAGCCTCCGTCCTCAGAACACTGCATGTCACTACAGGCTCTGTCACCACACCACACACCCTTAGCCAGGCTGAGGGAGTCTCTGAGTATATCCCATCAGGGCTGGATTTGCTGTGCTGTTTTCTGCCTGCCTGAACAGTCTCCATGCTGTTCCCTACCACAGTCAATGTGTGTTTGCAGTGATTTCATGCTCCTATTCCGATTTACTGATTATAAGACTGTAGGTGTTGGGCTGGTATCACACCAGCCAGGACATTCACAGTGTCACACTTGTGTTAACATCACTGGCTCTGTGACAGCATTGAGGGATCCATGCAAGGGGACCAGCAAGCAAGGCTGGGACAACTCGAGCACAAAACAAAAGCACCCAAAGTCTACCCTGTACAGCTGTGTGGTGCCTCACAGACTTGTTCAGTGCAAAAAGAAGTTTCCATTTCAGACTGTTTCATTTCTAAAATGTCACTGCCTGAGCTCGTCCCTGCACAAATGGGGCTCTACAGTCAGCTATTACATCAAGTTTCCTCAGCTAACTTGGCTGCAGGAGAGAGTGAGCATCCCAGTGCCTGCCCCTGAGTGGGTCTCTCCGGGTGCTGCTGCAGCTTGACACTGAATATCCTGTTTGTATCATTTCTCCCCTTTCACCAGCAGCTCAGCCAGAGCCTCTCCAGCATCAGAAATAATTCTGTCCTTGCAGTCCATCTTAACTGAACTCACATGTCAACACATCATTTATCTAAAGTGACAGTAAAGAACTGTAACCAATATAGGGAGAGAAATGATCTTTTAAAGAAGTGATTTTACCTACAACCACACACATTAAAAATGGATTAGTCATAACTGCAGGTTTTTTTCAGGGCTCTGTTCCAAATCTGACTCTATTGAATGGCTTCACTCTGCATTTCTGCATCTGAGTGCTTTCAGCTTGTTTTAAAGTTCAGCCTGAGTTTTCATTTCCCACAGGCTGTGAAGCTTGTTTCAGGAAGAAGGAACAACCTCCTTGCAGTAGTTTCATTTTCCAGCCCAGAGGCGTGGAGATGTGTTGTGAGACGCACTAGATGGTCTGAGCTGGAAATAAACCCACACAGTGAAGCAGAGGGGGCAGATCTGCTCAGCTCCTGGAGTCAGCTGCTCTCTCCTTTCAGCCGTGTTTCCCTTAACATACTGTTCCACTCTTTCCACGCTCACATCATGCTGTTTCCATTCAAGAGAAACAGTATGAAACTTCATTTTTGTATTCAGGAGGCCAGCGGGTACCCAGCTTCTGCTGCAGAAAAACGGTCATGGTTCAGCTCCAGTTCCCTTTGGATGCTGGAATAACAACAGGGACAGAGTTGCTGGAGGAGGCACAGCAATACCACAAGATCTGTTCACCTTCTTTGCTTTTCAGCCCCACAATGGTTTTTAGCTGCTGCAAACATGTTGAGGAGCTAATGGTATCCCTCCATCCCCCAAGAGGCTTGTTAGATACCCATCTCAAATGCTGTGTGTTAGAGCTAAATATTGTAATTATGATTACTGGTGTGCATGAGTCCCAGCTTGAAACCAAGGGAAGCTGCCTCTTTGCAAATCATTGCTGACAGCAGGCAAAGCCTTGGCGGCTGCCCCAGCTCAAATCTCCTTTCTCGATGGACAAAATCTGTGAAGGCAGCAAAAATTCCTACCATAGACAAAGCCTAGAAGTGTATTGCAGGAATCTGTCAGCTGGTGCTTGTGAACAGACTCACACACTTCCTATGCTTGCTAAAATCTGTTTTGAGTGAGACTGCACAGCTACCTGAGGAGTCAAAAGCATCTGTGCATCTACTTTCTTATTTCTCCATTGCAACTGTACCTTGGAGGGGGGTTATGAAGTTTTTCTCTACACAAACACTTTGAACCCCTCTGCTAAAGGCAACCAAACACAATTCATACATATCTACATATAAGAAATGTGATTTCCAATTACTTGGGGATTTTCACTATCTAGTTCCTGAGGCAGTTCCTTAAAATCCACCTATTACATTAAGCTATAAATAAACTAGAAACAGGAAACTGGAAGAGACTGGGTGGGATAAGGAATACAAGGAAGGAAGGGAGGAAAGATAAAATAATTCAGTAAACCTAGACTAATTCTTTGCAATACTATACAAATACTTGGTTCTGCAATATCACAGATACTCTGTTTTCAGATAGTAAAGATATTCCTTGCCCCAACAGGCAGCTACACTAAACAGCAAGTGCCTTGCCCATCCAAAATATAAGATTAGGGAGATCTCTGTAAACATTATTTACAAATGTTCCTCTTGTCAGTGTTTGGTATCTTTAGGGGTACAGGGGCAAGACATTTCTCCCCAGCAAGTTACCTTCTTGCCTCCAGTGGGTGATGAGATTTCCTGCAAGACACCAATTGCTCTGCCATCTCTTTGGTTAATCTAATTCAAGTCTACAAAAAAATATTTACTCTGCAGCCTATGGAGAGTGTTTCTGTTCATCTTGCAGACAGGACAGAAGCCCCTTCTTAAAATCCTGAGATCCACCTATATTAGCATCCCAAACCATTAACATCAGTCAGAAAAAGAATGTTCTTCTCTTCCAAACAAGGGCGGTTGGATTCATCCAGGCTCACACACACTCCTCACTCTTGCAACAACTGCAAAGAAATATTTTCTAGCTGCTATAGCCCCAGTTTTCATACAACTCCTTCTGTGCTTATGCACTGCAGAGTGGTAGAATCCTGTCATTAAATTTTCTCCTGATTTCCCATATTTAGCCATTATTTATGAACAGCAAGTTTTAGCTCAAACTAAGCTTCCGTCAGTAATATATTCCTATAGTACCTCGAAAAAAATGGGGGGAATATACCCTTTTATACTGAGTAAAACACACATGAAATTGAAGATTTGGTGGCAACATGATGAACTTTAAGTCCCTTCTATAATAAACTCTGAGTATTTATTTAACAATCATGTCTAAGACAGCACAACAAAGAGGGAAACAAAATCAGGGTGCATTGATGTTTTCCAAGTACATGGGATTTTGGCTGGAATTTCCTAACAGCTGTAAACAGCAAGGAAACCTCCAAGTTCAACAAGGCAGAGTCACTTCTTAGTTTGGCTGTGAGTGTATGTTCCACCAGAACAATAGAGTTGTTTTTCTTTGAGGGGAAACAGTGCATTCACTGTTTAAATAGCAAAAGAGCTGTAAACACAGGACTGGCTTTAAAACAAATATATGGAGAAAAGCATAAAAGCATTCTCATTAAAAAAACAAATTATTCAAACACACCTACTGTAACATTGCTGCAGAAGTCAGTGCAATTCTCCATCACACTCTATTTTTATTCTACCTGGCTACACCATGATCAACCCAAAAGGTCAGGTTCGATGTCACTGCATTACCACTTACTAAAACAGTGGTTTCTCTTCAAAAAAGTCTTTTTTTCTGTAACACAGAGGTTTCTCGTGTCAGACATGCCTCAGGATACAAAATATGACACAGTCAGTAGAAAGCAAGTACCTTCCACATGGTAAGGCAATCAAATGACTTATAACTGTGTGTAATACCTAACTGGCAACTACACAGGCACAAACTCCAAATTATCTAAAGGCAGATCTTGGGGAAATTTGTTCCCCTCCTTCAGTTTATTTCCTTCCCTTTTCTCCTTGCAGCTCCCGGTGCCTCACAGAGAATCACTCACTGTTCCCTTTTGCAGTCCTCAGACAAGTTTGCTCTACTTCTTCCTGCAACTTTTCTAGACATGGCAAAGTATGAAAAACATTTCCAGGCTGAATAATGTCTAGAAAAGGATGCACCCTTTCCTTCACTGAGCTGGAATGTGTGATCTTGTCCTTCAAGCAGTCTCAAGAAAGGTGCTGTCAGTGAAGTTTGTAAAAAATACTTTGAAGACCAGCACCCCTCACTGTCAGTTACGTTGAGGTGCTGTGTCCAAGTGTAATTCTCACCTACTGATAAATTCAAACTCCCCCCCAACTTCTTTCAGGACAGCTGGACTACAGAGCATGAGTAATTTAATGGCAAAGCAACCTCTTCTTCCTTTGTCCCTTGGGATTATAATTAGTTCTTCCATCACTTGTGTAGTTTTCACTGATTAGCTCAGCACAAATTTGCAGAAGCACTTCCTTGAAATAATTCTAAAAGCAATAATGACATCTAATAAATTTCTTACTTTTTCCTACCAACTTTTTTTTTTTGCATTAGTAGGGGGAAATTATGCCAACTGACTTCACCAGGCTGTGAAGATTAAACAATCATTTATAATACCCTTTAAAAATGAGAAAGTGTCATTTAAATGTTAGTCACATGAGTAAGCAGTGAGTCAATATTCTGCATATTAACTGAATGCATTTGAAGTGCTGGAGTTTTTCTGAAGCCTGCCAAGATCGAGCCATAACAATTTTTTATAGCTGGAGATCAGCCGGAATAAAAGACCTTCCTAAGATCCAGAAGGTGAAGATCAAAGTCATATGCACATTAACTCCATTCCACTGAATGTCAGCTTAGAGGGGAAAAAAATCAGATAGGATTGAGCAAGATGAAGGAGCTGTGATTACTTTTCAGGAAAGTAAATAAGGAAAATGAGATCACTGGTGCCATACTGCAATTTAAAATTAATCCAAAATCTGCCAGTCCCAACAGACTGATCCATCAGTTTGTCTCTTTCAAAGACCAACACCAAGCTCTGAAAGTTCATGTTGGAGACCTACATACTGCTTGTGTCCCCTACAATTGATACTTTCCTTTACGCTGAATGTGATTTGTATCTGAGAAATCAGACAGAGGTTTCTGAATTCCTAACCCCAGAGTCAGTCTCTGCTAACACAAAATAGTTTGCCTGAAGACATGAGCCTCCAAAACCAAATGTTTATACGCAGGTATCAGCACTGATCTTGACAAATCTTTTATCTGTTTTCTCCTTCCTCCTCGTCTCTGGACACAGAAAATACATTGTTACAATGAGGTAATAAATTTCGCCTGGGAGAGTGCCAGGAGATCCAGATCTGCTAACTTCTGTGTAGTACAAGAATTCACCAAGTGTGTTGGAGGAATACATAAATTTTCTCTCTGTTTTGGGCACTAGAACTTTGGGTTTTTTTCCTGATTGTACTCTGCTTCAGTGTGTATATACAGAATTGTTTGGTTTGGAAGGTACTTTAACTATCATCTAGACCCAACCCCTGCCATGGGCAGGGACATTTTCACTATCCCAGGTTGCTCCAAGCCCTGTCCAAGGTGGCCGTGGACATTTCCAGGGATGGGGCAGCCACAGCTTCTCTGAGCACCCTGTGCCAGGGCGTCCCCACCCTCACAGGGCTGAATTTCCTCCTAATATAATGTGCTTAAAGAATGTAATTCCAGTAACTCCACGATGTGCTCCCGGGAGCCAAAGCATCCTCCCAGCACTTCCAGTCCACTCCCACCCGCCATTCCAGGGGCAGGAGCCGGGAGTTCACTTGTGCCCCTCCGTGACCGCACCACCGGCACCAGCCCACGGATAGGAGCCGTGATTAACGGCGGCACTACCGGCAGCGGCAGGAGCCGAGCCCGATATCCCATCCCGGGCTGCCCATCCCCGGTATCCCATCCCGGGCTGCCCATCCCAGATATCCCATCCCGGGCTGCCCATCCCCGGTATCCCATCCAGGGCTGCCCATCCCCTGTGAGACGGCCATGTCCCGACGCCCGTTCCAGTCCTGATCCCGATCGCGGTCCCGGTGCCCATCCCCATTCCCGGTTCTAATCCCGGTGCACATCCTCGTCCCAGTTCGCATCCCTGGTCCCGATCTCGATCCCGGTCCACATCATCGCCCCGGTCCCCATCTCCGTTCTCGTTCCCATCCCCATCCCCAATCCCAATCTCCGTTTCCCTTCCCATCCCTATTCCCGTTCCCGTTTCCCTTCCCATCCTCATCCCCACCCCCGTCCCCATCCCCAGTCCCCCTCTCCTTTCCTGTTCCCTTCCACGTACCAGTACCCGTCCCTGGCCCCGTTCCCATCCCGGTCCCGGTCCCGGTCCCGGTCCCCATCCCCATCTCCATCCCCGTTCCCATCCCGCTGCCGCTCCCGGTCCCCATCTCGGTGTCGGTCCCCATCCCTGGCCCCGTTCCCGGCCCCGTTCCCATCCCGGTCCCGGTCCCGGTGCCCGTCCCCGTCCCCGTCCCCCGTCCCCCGTCCCCGCTCCCCTCACAGGGCCGCCCGCCCTCACGCCTCACGCGCCCCCTCGGCCACGCCCCCTTCCCACGCCGGTCCATTCATCCCCCCCGCCTTCCCCGTCACGTGACGCGGGCCCGGCGAGCGCTCCCCAGCCTGGGCTCCGCCGCCGCTTCCGGGCCGGGCCGGGGGCGGGGCCGAGGGCGGGGCCGGGGCGCGCGCGGAGGGGCGGGGCGGGGAGGGGCGGCCGCCGCGGCGGCGGCGGCGGGAGGGGAGCGGCGCTCCCGGCAACATGGCGGCGCGCGGGGCGGGCAGCGCCTGAGCCCGGCGCCTCTCGGTCCGCGGGGGTTTCCCCCCGGCCCCGGCCTCCTCTTCCTCCTCCTTCCTCTCCTCCTCCTCCTTCTCCTCCTCCTCGTGCCCCGCTCCCCGGCGCGGCCATGGAGAGCGAGGAGGAGCAGCACATGACCACGCTGCTCTGCATGGGCTTCTCGGACGCGGCCGCCATCCGCAAGGCCCTGCGCCTGGCCAAGAACGACATCAACGAGGCCGTGGCGCTGCTCACCAACGAGCGGCCCGGCCTCCACTACGGCGGCTACGAGCCCATGGAGAGCGGGCAGGGCCCGCCGGGCGGGCACGGCTCCCCCGCCGGCGGGCAGGGCCCCCGCGGCGGCGACGGGGACGGCGGAGGCGGCGGGGGCGGCTTCGACCCTCCGCCCGCCTACCACGAAGTGGTGGAGACCGAGGTGAGCTGCGGGCGGGTGGTCCCGGGGCGACAGGAGCCACCAACAACCTCCCCTCTGCCGGGGCCCCGGGGCGGGGGTCGGCCCGGGCATGGGGCTGGCGGGAGGTGCCCGGGACCCTCCGTCACTCCCCGGGCCGGGGGCTCCTCGTCCCCCCGCGTTCCCTGCCTGCCGCACGCTCCCGAGCCCGTTCCCTGCCATCGCTGCAAGGTGAAGCGCACCCAGGGTTTTCCTTGGCATTCCAGGAATGTGTGGCTACCGTAGGGCTCTGCTTTTCGCTCCCCCTCTTGTGCCTTCTTGCATAATCCCAGTGACTAAGGGCTGTCTATTTTTTTTAACTGTTTGCACAATATGAAGGAAAGCACAGTGTGGGTATGACTTTACGTACAGTTTTATTTGGATAAGCTGAGCGTAAGTTCTGAAATAGGAACGCAGTGAGGTCAAATGTTTTGCAGAACCGAGCTTAAACTCCTAACTTAGGGCTGTGGTGTAAAACAAAACTGAACTAGATAGGAGTTCTGGAGAATGTCAGCCTTTCCCAGGTTCTCTCTTTCCTCCTTGTTTGCCTTTCTCTCTCTTCCATCGTGTTCCAGAACTCTGAGCCCTTCAGCTAGCAGATACACTCCTAGTGCTCTCCTTGCTGTCTGGAACA